TGATTCCCACCTCTAGTAAGCAGCGGAGTTTAAATGACGTTCAGTTGGTACCAAGGGGACCAAAGTCTGTCAAAAATATCATGCCATTGCCACACCACCAATCTGAACAGCTGATACAAAGCAGTATAGAGCCGTGCTTTCAAGTCATTTATGACAAATTTTGAAAATTATCCAAATGTTGGAGCAGAAATCAAGACGGAAACGACCAGGCAGTCTTCTATGGTAAAATTTGTAGCCCCGGCTGAGAGGAGCTGCACCATGTGTGCTCTTCTGCTTCTGCATTCAGATATACTCTCATGCATACCTTGGCTATACTAACTTATTTGAGTTACTGTTCTCTTCTTCTCAGCCTGAAGTATTCTGGTCTTTTTCTGGCATTAACAAGGCATTTTCAACCAGACAACTGCCGCTCACTGATAGTTTCTCTTTTTCAGACCATTCTCACCCTAGAGAGGGTTGTGCAGGAAAATCCAGGCAGATCAGCAGTTTCTGAAATCCTCAGATCAGCACGTCTGGCACCCCTAAACGTGACACACTTAAAGTTAAATCACCTTTCTTCCCCATTCTGATGCTCTGTTTGACCATCAGCAGGTCGTCTACATCCCTAAATGCACTGGGCTGTTGCCACGTGATAGTTTTTTTGACACGTGAGTCACAATTGACAAAACTTGGAAGAGCTATTAGCTATTTGCTTGGAAGGGCTAATAGCAGAGTGTTAGGAGAGAGGGTTAACTCACAGAGTTGAGCTTTTTGTTCTTTTATAACCAGTTAGCTGAAAAGTACAGTGAGTGATAGACTTTATGCTTCCCTAATACACAATAATTTACTCATTAGACATAAGAATTACTGCAATTATAGCAATTAAGTCAAATTAAAAGCTCATAAATGAGCAATTTATAACGTGGAACAAAGTCACACAGTGACCTCATCCTTTCCTCATCTTCTGATTTGCTCTGCTTCTGTGTGCGTGATTTAAAAAACAAAAGGTTTGATCACATTGTCCTAAATAGAAAACATGTCATTCATAGTGCAACACCTGAGATTATGAAATACAGCCGTAGTTTTAATTAATGTAAAACAAAACTATCTGTGATGCAGCTGTACCAAATACCATCGTCTCGATGTCTCGAGTCCTCCCTGCTCGTACTTTGCTCCCCTCCTGCACCTGCATCCACGATGAGAGGGACAAGAATCAGGGATGGTCTTTGTTGTCTGTGTTCCTTCATGGCTCCATCATCTATGTTCCTGTGCTTCCTGTCCTCTGCATCTAGCTACTTGATTTGTTTTTTGTTTTAACATCATCTTTATATGACTGTGGTTAACAGATGTTCTTTAAAATAAAGCTCTGTTTTGTTTCCGTCAGGTTTAGTTGTATTTAAACCAACTGCAGCCTTTCACAGCAGCTGAAAGTTGCTTTACTTTTATCGTGAAGAAATAAACTTTTACCTAAAACTGATTGGAGACAAGCGTCCGAGTTTTACAGTCAAACCTTTGACTCAGCCGACAAAAAAATAGAGCCGCCCCCGTCATGCCAGATGTATGATGAACATATAACAATATCAGCTCACGGTCTACTCCCACCAACAGACACGGACAGAGTCTGGCCTTTCCTTTCTTATAGCTCATCCTCCTCACCCCCTCTCCTTATATCTACTGAAAGCCGACTCCCTTCCCTCCTCCCTCACTGACACCCTCTCTCACATTTGTATTTCCTGCTCCACGTACATTTCAAACACTCTCACCTACAGACACACTACCTTCTCTGTCTGACACCATCAATTATATATCTCGCTCTCAAACGCACACATGCACGCACACACACACGTGTACACACGCCGGTGTGTGTGCTTCTGCTCTGTGATTTTCCAATGAGGCGTTTTTGGGGGCTGGTTTTGGAGCGGCTGGTGTTTCTGTCTGAAAACTTCAAACTGAGTAATTGCAGGAAACAGAAGAAGAAGA